GAAAATAACATTTTATGGTTAAAGAACTTATTTTAACTATTATTTTTATTATTTTTCCATTAAATTATTTATTAATCATTTTAAATCATTCACTAAAACTTAAAAAAAGACATTTTTATGTATGATAATAACGATACATTTTATAAGAAAATAAAAATGTAATGATCGACACACAAGCCTACTTTAGATAAATATCTTTTTAAAATAGAAAATTTCGATAAATAAATATTTTAGAAATGGTGAAATTTTGTCCTTTGCCATTTTTTCACTGTAATTCTAGACAGGAACATAAAGTGACGTCAAAACTGGCAAAGTCACCAACGTTTATCCAGACTTGACTAATGCATAGAGTTATAACACTAGTAAGACTTGAACTCTTTCCAAACTTAAGTTTGAACATTTCTAAAAATTTCCTTTCATTTGGAAAATTATTCTATTCGATTGTATACATTTATTTTTATAGTTTTGTCAAACTATAATAATATTAATAATAATAACAACAAGGAATCAACTTGTTCTCATAAATATTTAAACTAAAAATTTAAAAAAAATTATATATAGCCTATAATTTAACTAAGTAGTACAGAAAAGATATATAAATTGCTAATATAAACAAAAATATATTTTATTTGTTTGATATAAAGTTATAATTTATGTAAAAATTACTTTAAACTAACTTCATTGATATAATTATATATTTTCATATTCAAATCTAATTTAAAATTGTCTTACAGAATATAAGTTTCAACTTAGTTTCAAATTTAAAAAAAAAAAATGCCTATGACATATTTAGACTGTAATTTTCTAATTTCATTGATTTAAAATTTCAAATTAAAAATAATAATGACCCGAACTTCTAAAAAGTAGGTTAATGCAGTGATATATTTTCATCCAACTTGGCCATTTTGAAGAGATATATAACTATGGAAACTTTTTGTTTTGAAAATTTTCAATTGCATATTTCGGTTTAGTTATAATAAACTAGATCTGAAAGAATCGTTAGTTGACCAGAGAAATTCATAGCGATTTCGAAGGATGAGGATCAACAAAAATCGTTTCTGGATTTTTCTGATAATGTGATCTGAACGCTATCACTTGGCCAGTAGATTAGGTGGATAAAGAATAAATCTAGCATTCTTCAACATAAAGAATGATTAGAACAAATCAAGCATTAGATTCTTATATTGATACGGAATAGGAAAAACAAATTTCGAGATAAAGAAATCAATAATAAAGTTGTACAAATTATTGAAGATTCTAAAAGTTTACGATTTTAATGTTATATATTGGCTATAATTACTTACTTTCACACCTTTTCCCTTAAGGAATTGGAAATAATCCAAAAAGACTGAATTAATTTAGCCCTAACATCTATAAGTTTACTGTATCCGTTTCCATATAACTACACTTATTCAAGCAACACAATTTTTGCTTCAGCCACATCAATAATTCTCTTTACACAAGCCGACTCCTTTTATTCAACATTTATTTTATTCTCGAGTATGGTACTTGGTCTTACTCCACTATTCTTAGCGCTCTTTTTCCCGATTACTTTTGATTTGTCCTATGATATAACCTTTTAATCAAATTCAATTCAATCGTTCTATGTGTCCAAACCAACACAAAGCTCTTTCAACGCATTTTCTGTACCACATTCATTAAATAAAGATAGATTTCTCCGGTTGCTGTTTTTTTATTTTGAATTAGGAGCAGGTAGACGAATAACTTAGGCTATAACAACCATTATTGACGTTTATTCCACGTTAAAAAAGAAATAAAAATGAATTAAACTTGTTTAATATTCACTGAGCTTTTCAATAATTGGGTTTAAAATAAAATAAACAAATTTAAAGTTGGTAAATTCATGAAAATGATATGATATTAAAATAGCTTAAAGCTGAAGCTGTAAATATATAAAATAAGAATTATAGTAAGAACAAAAAGAAAGAAAAAAAATCATGGATATAGAAATGAAATAATAATTAGATTTTTATTGAATTTTAGATGAAGACATCATCAACTTATGATATAAGTACATTACTTATATATAAAATTCTGATACATTTAATAAATGATAAATGATTCAAGTTCTCTGTCATAATCATTTTTTTTTTTATCATACTGAATTAGGCTACATCTACTTTTAACAGATATTTCACGATTTCAAAATTTCATATATAAAATATGATAATATCCCATAGGGAGATATTAAATCTACTATCGATCTAAATAAACCACAGTCAACACAGTCAACACTATATTTTTGAAAAGCGATTTTAGAAAATATTCGCATCATAAATTGATGACATAGGACATACATCATCGTTAAAAATTTAACTTTGGATTTATATTTAAATCAAAATATATGAAACGTAAAATAAATGACTAGATAAGTCTTAAAATGCTAATTATGAATTTAGAAAAATTCAACTGTACAATGTTATAACTTGTTTTTAATATAGTTTTCAGCATGTTTTTATACAGATCTGAATGTAATTGTGGTTTAAATAATAATATTTGTAGAGGAGAAGGTGGTATTATGGAACACTGCGGGTATTATGGAACCACCCCATTTCGAACTGATAATAAAGGCGAACTGTTGCGGAATGTGGCTGAACTGAACTAGGCAGACATCCATAGCAAGAGGAAAACCCGTTTTACTTCAGTTAAACAGTTGTCCGTATTTAATCAGCAAATTTGTTTTTTTTCAAAATTCGCAAGTTTTGAATGCTAAGTGAATTTAATTATTTTTAAAATATAAATCGTGTAGTTGTAGGTTCACTGGTGCATGTATTCCGTTCCAGAGACTTAGGGGTACGTATTAATCTGTGTGATGTTCACGTTTTTTAAATTTTGGTCTTGACAGACATAAGTTAATTCAAGATGGCGATGCGTGAAATACGGACCCCATTGGTGCTTTTACAGTAATATGGAACTCAACTCCTCCGAACTTTCTATTTGCAAGCAGACATTCCTCCAGAGCAATTTGTGAAAAAGACACTAGGTAGAAAGCCAATTCTTCCCGAGAATATCGAAAAAGAGCTGCTGGAATATATATTGTTGATGGAGGTCATATTTTTCTATTATAAAAGCATTTTTGCGATAAAATACATTGGAGTAAATAATTTGGTAATTATTTAACATTTTTTGTCCTTTCCTATTTGTTTTTGGCTACATTAAAGCATTTTTTTGAAAATATACAGTAAGGTTCCATATTACCACCCGATTTTCTCTAAGCCTACTTTCGGACTTTTTGTACAAAAGCCTTCAAAAACCATACTTATAATTACACTAGCGAAAAATCCAATTAGGAACATTTAGTTTACTAGTTACCGGTACTTTTCGCACAAAAACTGTGGATGTAGTTATGATACCTTGTTTACAATTCACTAAAATGTAATTGGGGTTCCATAATACCACCTTCTCCTCTACTATCAACTGTTTTAAACACTCTATATTATAAAAATCATGATTCTTAAGTATAGTTAGTTGTTTAATTATTAGAATTAATATAAATCAAATAAACATTTGGCATTAGTTACACACACACACATATGCATGCACTATTATTTATAAAGTATTCATACTCACAATCAATAAAACAAAAACATAAACCAGTGTATCATTTATCATTAAAGATATGAAGGAGTAGATAAACTACTGTTGTATAGCTATATCTGTATAACATAAAGGAAATATAACAGACACAAAACAATGATATTAATAAGTAATGAGCAAATATTTAAACAAAGATAAAATCAGTCATTAATATTAATAATTCTGTGCAACTGTCAAAATAATTCTGTGCAACTGTCAAATAAATTCGATAATTTGAATGATTAACAAGAAGATGAAAAAACTCTTGTCAAATTCATTGATTAGAAAAATACAAAAATTAATAATTTTTCTATAAAAGATATATGATTATCTAAAGAAAAAAACAAAACAAAAAGGAAACTTTACCATTAACAACCGTAATGAGTTTAATGACTTCCACAACATAAATCTTGATGTGATTATTAAACATTACAAATTATCAGATTATATTGGAATATACAGAGAAGTTTCAGCGTAAAATGATAATTCATGGGATAATTTCTCTTTTCTATGAGTAACAGTTAATTTATGTTCAGTTTTAAACATTCATCAGCTAATAAAACTGACGTGGAAGAAATTTTAAATTAACGATTCGTTAATACATATTTAGGCACGTTTTGTGTAAAACTAATAATCACTAGTGTTGGATGTTAAAAGGATTAAAATGCCGTCTCTTATTATTAAGAAAAATAATATTAATATGAAAGGAAGAAAAAAAATGATAAAACAGTTTAGGAAACTGGAAGACTAAGCTTGTAATTAAAAGTTTAAATTATAAAAAAAATTTTTATCCGATGAATTATTATCAGTGATTTTCTTTGTAATGAAACCTATAAAAAAATATTATAAAATTTTAAATCCGTTTTGTTAAAGAAAATATGCTTTAATCAGTTAGAGTAAAAATACTTTTAATTATGAAAACAAGCCGGAAATTTTTTTTATTTAATTCTAAAATGTATAACATTGCTATGCTTAACTCGCTACAACCCAGGGGGTCTATAAAATAGAAAAATTACCTCCTATAAAGCCGAGTATACTTTGTGGGAGTGTGTGAGAAATTCCGGTTTATCAGTAATTAAATTTTTTAAAAACGTTAAAAATGCATAAAATAACTTAATTATTTACTTTTTCCTGTCCGAAACGCTTCTAATGATGCACTTGATAATCAAGAAATTTTTTCCCAGTAAAAAAAAATCGATGTTATAAATTACGTATTTTTTTTTTAAATATAATTCAGCTTAATTAAATTCAGTCTTTTTTTTTAAATTAATAATAATAATATATTTACGACGAAAAATCATTTCAAATTAAATTAAATTTAAAAAGTGAATTTTAATCAATACTTATTTACTTAAAATATAAAAATTAAAATGTTTATAAATTCGGACAACTTTGGCGCTATGATCGCTAGTTATTTCTTCAGCCAGAAGCCATTTAATGGAGTCAATGTTCTGACAAGACAAAATTCTTTTTTTCTCTTTATAAGTGTTTAATATTAATTTAAAATCGTATAAGACTTAACTGTAAGTACGTACAAGAACTTAAAGATGACGGAAATGCTTACTACATCTGCTAATAAAGCAGATTACTTGGCACAGTTATTGAAAGATAAGAAACAAATTTCAGCCTTTCCTAATGTCTTTATGCATTTGGAAAGAATTCTTGATGAAGGTAAATTCCAGTCTTCTTTTTTCCCTTTACATTAAAAAAAGAAAAAGGAAATTTCCCTAACAAAATTGTTTTGTCCTATTACAGATTTGCATCATCATACATTTATAATTTATAATTTGATTTATATTAACATTAAAAAAAAAACTTTTAAGCTTTTATACTATTAAGGAAAAAGCATGATAATTTAAAATAAAAAAAAAAGAAAACATAACAAAACAAATGGGAAAGTAATAAGACAATTTTTTCCTTTACTCCTTAATGTTATAAGCATGTCAATTTTCTTTGTTTTTAGCTCATGCTGTTACTGAAAGGGACATTTGAGAATTTTCTAGTTTCTCTTAAATAAATTGAAAACTTTTAACTAATATAGATTTACTTTAATAGCATTATTGATAATATATTATCTATTTTTATGTTTCGGTTAGATTTAATAAGTTTATAAACATTTTTCAAAGTAATTGTTGAACTTTGCATAATTGGGTGTTTAAAAATACCTTTTACGGTGTTAACGTCGAAAGAAGAAATTAAATTGAAGGCGAATATTTATTTTGAATTATTATTTTAAACTTTATTGCAGAATTTTTTACTTAATACTATCTGCAAAAATAACTAGTTAATGAAATCTGTCATATATGATAGATTTATAAGCAAGTTTATAAGATGTAGAATTTACATGCTTAATGATATAAATGTTTTTGAATAACTACGGTATAAATTTTGATGTAAATGACATAAAATTAATGCTATGCAATATTTTTTCAATAATTCTTTATTAATGAAGTTTTTAAATTTTTCAAGTATAAATTGATATTTTATTATGGTGCTGGATTTAAAATGTAAAAGTTTAAAGCTTAAATAATTTTATACAATTGTATTTGTTTTGAAATATTTTTGTGAGATGTTTCATACAACAGAAATGTGAAGAAGCTAAAACAAAAATTTACCATAACAGTAAATTACTGACTACATTTAATTTGTAATATCTCGTGCAATAAATTTTTCTCGGAAAAAATTTTTAATTCGAAGGAAATTATAGATGGTAAGAAATATATTACAGTAAAATCATATTTACAAATAATTCAATAGTTACACTTCTGAAAGGTTATCAGTAATTTTTACTTTGTCTATTTATCTAGAAATTTTATCCTGTTTTATTTAATCTAAAACTAATTTTTATGATATGCTTTAGGTAGCAGAGATAAATATTATTTAAAACTTTGTTTTACATGATACTTATTTCACTTTCATGTTGACAAAAAAAAGGGAAGATCTTGAGTAGTTTGAGTGAAATTTTGGGTTTGATATGAAGTTTGTTGATTATGTCATTCATTATAAAATGTTGCATGACAGCTTTTTAATATTAACATAGCTAAAAGTTTAAATTGTGGAAATTCATTTTTCAGTATATTTTATTAAAGTCATATTTCACAGCATTATAATAAATTGTTTTTTTAAACAAAAAGTTTAAATCTTTTGGTATTAGATGTAAATTTGTAAACATTTTGTATATTATATACTTGTTATTTTATAATTACTAACATTGTATAATTAAAATGGAAAGAAGAGCAAACGTTGAAACTGCATTGCAGTATTTATTTTTAAAATTTTAGTATATTATTTACATGAAATATCTAATTCTAGCATGTGAGGATATTTATTAAAATGAAATGAATCATGTGAAAATGATTTTTTGTTTATTTTCTTTGTTGTTATGAACTGTTTTTTAAACAAAATTGTTATTTTTTAATTAAAATTTTCTGTACTTAATATGATTTATTAATTCAATAATAAAACATTTTGTAGTTGAAGTAATAAGAAGAATAATATAACTCTTTTATGTTTAATAGTTTTTATATGTAAATAAAAATACAAATTATGATTGATTTAAAATTTTATATATGCTACAGCTGATGGCTGTGAATTGGATAAAGCTAAGATTAGCTGGCTAATACTAACTTTATCCTAAGGTTTTGGTTAAAGCAAGTAAGTTTATTAATTTTTTTACTTTAACTGTAAAAAAACATGCTTTATCCAAATAAAAAGCAGATAAGCTGACATTATTCAAAAATAAGTGGTTGAAGCAAGAACGGAACTTAAAATTTGAGCTTTATTTGGATAATTTGGAGTTTATCTACCTGTTGTTTAGATAGAGCTGTATATAGATGTAGCATTTTTTATTGGCATGAGCATTTTTAGCCTTTACATGAGTAGTGGAAATGGTACTATGTTGCCAGGTCTGGCAATGTATTGAAAGACTTCAAACCAATTAACAATATGGCAATGATTTTTTTATGCTTATGATAAACTTCTTAAAAAACACTTGTAAACTCCAGGACTAAATAATAATAAATACAAGTGATGACAAATGCAAAAATAGGTCTTAAAAGTTTTTGTAGATACACATATGATCACATAAAAGGATATTGTGACACCACCTTTCTTTAAAAATAAGTGCCACAAAAAATGCAAAAATGTTAAAAACATCATCAGTGGATCTATGTTTTTTACTTGTGTTTATTTCTGGTATATATCATTTAAGATCTATGTATAGTACAGTATATATTGGTTTTTGTAAATCACTAAAAAGTTATAAATTTAAAGCTAAAAATCATAAATATTACTATTTATTATTGTACTTTGAAATTAAATCTATGATTTTTAGCTTTAAATTTACTATTTTTAGCTAAATTTAATATTTTATTGAAAAATGGCAAATTTATTTTTGCTCACATTTTTTTTTTATTCATTAGAGAAATAAATTGTCCATAGAGAATTGGAGAAAACACAAAATTCTTTTTTTAATTCATCTAACCTTCATTGGAAAGATTACAGATTATCCAGATAAAGTGGAATCCTAAATCTCATTTATCCAGAGTGGAGTAGATAAAGCTCAAATTTTAAGTTTTGTTCTTGTTGTTCTATCCATCTATTTTTGGATAATGTGTCAGCTTTATCTGCTTATGTTTGGATAAAGCATGCTTTATATGGTCAAAGTTCAAAATTATTACTTGCTTTAACCAAAAGATTTGGATAAAGTCATCACATTATCTAGTTAATTCTAGCTTTATCTGATTTACAAACTTTACCTGTGACACACACATTTTATATATATAAAAAGGATGTAACTAGAAATTTGAGTGTGGGCTACCTATAAGGCTGATGGCTTTAGTAGACAGCATAAGTTGAAAGGTTACTATAAAAATGCAATATTCCATAATCACTAGCAACACATTATTGTGTAATGAGCTGCTATATGCAAACAGTAGTAATTTACACACACCAATGCTCAATAAAAAAGAAAAAGCTGAACAATAACAAGTATTAAATTTTATTTTTCTTTACCTGTGGCTATTCATATAGTATTTGAGTCTGGTTTTCTGTTTCATTTAGTAGTTGTGACATTCTTTTTTTCTTTTTCCATGCTGTTTACTTTTTAACTTGAGTGAGGCAACAACAGTAGTGGCTGGCAGAGAGTGAGGGCAGAAGAGCATTAGTTTGGAAAATGCTAACTTGTTACATCCCTTACATATATAAATACTCAAATATATACACAAATAAAGGAATGAATAAATAAAATAAATATATACTGTATATATATATATATTTTTTTTTTTTTTTGAGTAAAAGTTGTAGTTAATCTTTGGTAAATTTAATTAAATTGGAATAAATTATTTAAAACTATATATTATTATGTATATAAAGTATATGTTTCACATCAAAAAGTGTAAAGAACAAATGCAAACATTATTGGAAATAGTTATTTCATGGGGTTATGAAGTAATTTACAGTTCAGTTTAACAAATTCTGGTAAAATTTTTGTACACTTTATCATGTGAAAATTAATGTTATGACAATGGCATTTTGCCAGGGCAATGGAGAAACTTTTATAGTTTGTGTTTGTTTCCAGGTGAATTGACTGTAGTAGTATATTGATTTCAGTAAATATCTATTTGAATACATTTCCTTATTCAAAGGTTGTACATTAAATAATTTAAAAATGAAAACATTTATTTAACAAATTTTAATTATACCAAAGCATTTTAATGTTTTTATATTTTTGGAATTATGGATTATGCTAAATTGTTTAATCATATAATTTAATGTCCATTTAATAAATAGAATTTTAAGTAGAAAGTATTAGGTGTATCTTTAAGAATACAGAATCCTGCTAGTCTGAGCTAATTGAAATAATGCAGAAGCAAGCAGTAAAACAGGCCCAGAAAAACAGAAACATCAATGAATTTTGTTTCTGTTTTTGTGTATCAGTACTGCATATAGATCTGTTGTTTTAATAGGCCATGTCAAACACTAATAAATATTTATATTAAACAGGAAAATGTTATGAAATAAGAGAATCATAAGGTACTGGAAAAATTTTTAAGGTTGCTGAAAATTTATATACTCCCATATTGTTGAAAATTATTTATTTCTGTTATTGATATACAATATATTAATCAAAAGAACACACATTTATGCAATTACTAACCAGAAATTTAAATTAATGAAAATATTAGAATTGTAGTTAGAAAAAGTTAAAATTTTAATGAAATTACTTGGAAAAGACTGTCACATGTGTAAATAATTTTCACAATGGTTGTTAATATGTTTAGATTTGCTACAACTCTTAAGGATTCTAGGTGATGTCCATTCTATAATTTTACTTGCAACAATGCCAAAAGAAAAACATTTGTGAGAATTTGAGAGGAGTCAAATTTCACCATTTTTGGAAATTGGATTTAATGGAACCAAAACTGGATTAAAAATTGAACAACCTAAAGTGTAGTGAACAGTTTTCTACATGATCCAGAAAATTATAGTACCAAAAACACAGGAGACCACAATTGTTGACAGTCAGTTAGAAATCACAGATTGTATAATTGTATCAATGGAATGTCAGTTAACAAATATTTGAATGACGTCATTGTTTACAAAAGTTTCTACTTTCTTATGATGTCATTGTTTTTAACAAAAGGCAGACGTGGAAAAATTGAAATAAAATA